TATTTCTTGAGTTGTGACATCCCTAGGTAGTCTTTATTCTTCTTTATGTCTTTCAGAGTCATCTTATGTTTGTTTTATATATAATTTCTAGAGTTCTTAGTATACTCAGTGGGAGAAACAAGAAAAAATATGCCTACTTCATCTTCCCAGAAACAGAAATTTGACTCACAAAATTTTATCTCCAACCTAAATCTTTTCTCTGTGGTCTGAAAACAAGTATCCTCATTGTCATCTACTTTTGTATGCCTCAAAGTCACCTCAAATGTAACTTAAGTTCAAAGCACATCTCACTGTGAATGTTACACTGTAGACTTCAGCTACACCAAGAAAAATAAGTTCAAGCTCTTCTTGGCACTTTTTCTCCCATCCATTCCAACCATCCTGTTGATTATTTTTGTTTGAAGTATTTTTGAAGTCTTTCCACTTCTCTGTATCTACATGTTACAATCCTAGTCTAAGCTACTATCATATCTAATCAAAATACTCTATAAAAAGTCTCGTCTGATCTATTCAAATATACCCGTCCTGTTCCAAACACTTTCTGTATTATAGCTAGAGTAATCTTTTCTTTTCTTTTCCTTTCCTTTTTTTTGGGGGGGGAGTTGGAGTTGGAGTCTTACTCTGTCGCCCAGACTGGAGTGCAGTGGCACGCTGGCATGCTCCCGGCCACCGCAGCCTCGACCTACTGGACTCTGGTGATCCTTCTGCCTCAGCCTTCCAAATAGCGGGAACTACAGGCGCGCGCTAACACATCCGGCTAATTTTTGATTTATTGTAGAGCCGAGGTCTTGCCAAATTGCCCGGGTGGATCTCGAACCCATGGGCTCAGGCAATCCACTCACCTCAGCCTCCCAAAGTGCAGGATTACAGGCTAGGTCACTGAGTCTGGTCGCTAGACTAATCTTTTCAAAACACTATTGTTATTATTTAATAAGTTGATACTGATTTTAGGAAATTGATTTTTTTAAATATTTAACCACACCCACAAGCCTTGTACAAATTATAGTCTCTCAATAAATATTTGTTGATTAAAAAAAACTATTATGCTCTAGCATCGGAGATATATACATCCTTAACTTGAGTCAAATCACCTAATGGGCAGTGATATATCCTAAAACTCTATGTAGTATCAGTTCAATGGTGATCTGTAAATGTTTAATGATGATGATCTGGGTATTCTAATGACTATATGAGGAGATTATATCTACAGTATGGCTAAAAAGGAAACGTGCAAACGTAATGACAAATTGCAAATTGTTAATTGCTCTGCCATTTTTATATCAAGTGAATTTGTCTCTTAATAATTATTGTCCGTTTTTAATATAAATATCCTTCAATTTCCAAGTATCTATACATTTTTCAACTACCAGTTCACTTCTCACTCCTATTGGAAATCTATAAAATATTCACTTTCTGCATTTTTAAAGAATTATATCTTCAGGGAAAAAACTGGTCAGAAATTAATAAAAATATTAACATTTACAAGAAAATGACAATCAGAAATAGGTTTGTTTATATGGCCTTTTCACACAAATGTTAAAATTCTCAAAAGTGAGAGAATTTACTATGTGCACTATGTTTACCTATTTTTGCATTTATTGCATTTAACAGAATACCTATAAAAATATTGTTTCAGACATTAAAACTATATGATGGTTATTTGGGTTAAAAAAAAATTTTAAAAAGACTTCCAGCAAGGGATCGGTTAATTAGAGAAGACTCCTTATAACTTCTTATAAGAAAGATTTTTGATCCTGATCTTCAAGCCAGTCTTAGAGCATCAGGTGATGGAGATGGGAGGCAGGGGCAGGAGTGGAGAGACAGAGAAAGAGACCGAAACATGTCTAAAGTGCTAAACAATACAGGTCAAAAATACAGAAGCAAGAACAGGTAGGACTTAGGCAAACAATGGTAAAATTATAAATCACTTATCTAGTTAAAAAAAAACTAAGGTGGTCACAATAAGACATTTCTATACTTTGTTTAGCTATGAATGAGTGATTTTCAATATATGTCAGAATATAATAATAATGTAGACACCAAGAGATCAAATAGTCTCCTGTGTTTCCTCTTGCCACAACTAATTTACATTTCAGATTAATAGGAAACACTTAGACTTGAGAGATAGACTCTAAATCATTAATTCTACAACCTAAAGTCAAGTTTGCATTTCTCTAAACTGATATACCACATCACAGCTAAAACTTCTACAGCTTATAAGAATGGATGGAATTTTGTTTCACATATGAGGCTACTTTATATTTATAGAAAAAATTCACTGTAATTTGGAGGATTTTTTGTTTTTAATTGCTCAGAAGTGAGTCACGAAAATCATATGAAAAGATGCAACATTTTATTTTGTTGTATCCACTAAAAGTTAGACTATGAGAATGTTTAAACACAACTAAAATTTGTTTCTTTAATATTATTATTTATATTATCTCTAATTTGTATTTTTGGTGTGTATTTGACTTTCTCTTATGGTGTTTCTGCATCTGATTTATAATAGTGGTTGCCATGGAGGAAGGAAATGTGTTATCTCATGAACTTGAGCATAACTGCAGAGACTTTCCAAGAGAAATCAATTTGTTGCATCAAAATTTTACCTACAGATGAAAGAAAAGCATATCTATAATAGAAGAAAAAATTTCTAGAAGTTATAAAAACTAAGACTCTTCTAAATTGTTTTCAAAGTTTCACTCAACATCGTAAGCATAGCATAAAGAGTAGAAAACTATTATATATAAAATTTAGATTTTTTTTCTGATTATGAAAGTCTCAAATATTGCTAAAATGCCACTAAAATGTTTGCCGTAGTGATAATTACAGGGAAGAGTGATATATTTTAAAATGCTACCAAATTCAAAGGTTCAAAGGACTTACACAGCCAAAGAGGTTACGTGGATAAACTGGGAGTAAATTAAACCTTGAAGTAGGGATGAAATTTTACTGATGGATTTTTGAAGAGAGAAGGAGTTTTAGCTATGAAAAGTGTCTGCTCTGAGAACACTTTTGGTATTTGGGACAATACTATTTAACATTTGGTGAGTGCTTACTGTTAGGCTGTATTCTTTGTACTTTTACATGCTTTGACCCATTTGATCCTCTCAGCAATCCCAGGAATCAGCTGTTCTAAACTCCATTTTATAGAGCTACAAAGAGGATAGTCATTTGTCCATGGTCACACAACTACTGTAGTAAGTGTAGAATGATGATTTGAAACCTGGTCAACATGGCCCATAGTCTGTACCCCCTGCATAGAGCCTCTCTCTAATTATCAATTAACAAATGTACTACCCTCCCTGTGTGTCAGTCATTTATATAGATTTTTCTCAGTTAATCCTCACAACAAGTCTAAGAGCTAAGTATTATATGCTCATTTTAGAGATGAGAAAATTGGGACACAGCAGGTCCAGGATTAAAACCTAGGCTATATCTCATATTTTCAACATTTCTTCCCCAGGTTTGGCTAAAGTAAAGAACTTCTAAAGCAAATTCGTAGAATATAGGTTGGCTAAGTAAATGAAAACCAAATATAAAAGAATTTTAAAGATTTAAAAATCTGAACTCAACACTTGTGACACATTCTTCAGTGTACATGTTGAACAAATTCTGTTGAATAAATGAGTAAATGACTGAACGAACGAATGAATATAAAGCTGAGTGAAGGTACTGATATTCCAGTCTCTTCTCTAGACAGTTAATGGTAGCAGAGATTACAAAATAAAAGAAAGTAAAATAATTGCAACCAAAGAAAGTTAGTTTATTTATTTTCTTTAAAATATCCTGTCTGTAAGTAGAGTCCACTGCTCCCAGATCTGCCACAAGATGCCTAAGCTGTCTTTCTGCTGATTTGAATATCCATGCTTCTAGAAGATCTGGATAATTAAATCAGATTAATGAGGTTTCCCACTTTCTTGTATTTTTATTAAAATAGTTCAGCACAGCTACAATTATTCTTTATTATTTTAAAAGATAACTAAGAGGCTCCCTCAATAATCCATGACTTTTTCAATTTAAAGTATTATTTCAACATATTAAAATATCTTAATTTGTTAAATAACTTTTTTATCCCAAGCTGTATTCCAAATTCAAATTGGAAGACCTTGTGCCAAATTAGTTTTAAAACACTGTTTCATCATTGTTTATATTCAGAGAGTGAGACCTTATGGGTGTTTCCAATCCTCTTTCTTCTAATCTCTGATAGAAGTGCTAATCACTTCATCTCAGGCCTGTCCTTGTCTCAAATAATGTGAGAAGAAACTGACAAAGGTGGGGAAAATGGTACTGTCTTCTGCTTGGTCCTTTGTTTTCTTGTTTTTCCATTCTTGTGACCAAAGTGGGCAGTATTACTCATATGATAACATGGTCTACTCATATTTCTCCTTTCTCACCAGTATTTTTCCTGAGTCTAGTGTGAAATGACATATACCTACTGTTTTCCCCTTCACTAAGCATATGACAGTGAATTGGTAACATCTGCTTTTTTCATAAATAACCTTCTGAAAGAACTTGCCATTACAATATCTCAGCTTTTGCCAGAAACTTTTTTTTCCTAAAGGGTCAGCATATCTTATAAGAAAAAAAAAAAAGATTTGCCATACTGTAAGGTCAAACACTTAATTTGCTCTGTCATTTTAAAATTTAGCAGTAAATATACTTGTGTAAAGACATTTCACAAATATCACCTTCATTATCAATTAACCCTTATATTATTTTTAGCGGATGATATTTCCAACCAAATATAACTTGGAATTACGCATTTGAGACAATATAGGTTGACATTGTAAAATATCTTATCCTTTCCTTTCATTGAAGTCTAGTTATTCTAAGCCTACAATTAATAAGTTTCTTCAGTTGTCCCACAGTGAAGTTGGTTCATCTATTAGAGAGAAAATAACAAGAAAGTTCAAATGGAAATAAGTTGCTATAACTTCCCAATATAGTCTGATAAACCATTTGTACTCCTGCTTATTATTGCTGTTGTTTTTGGTTTACAGGGACCGAGCCCCTTTTATTTTTACTTCAGAAATGGAGTACTTTATTACAGAGGGTGGGAAAAACCCACAGCATTTCCAAGACTTTGTGGAGCTCTGCTGTCGAGCTTATAATATTGTCAGAAAGCACAGCCGGCTGCTCTTGAACCTGCTAGAAATGGTAAGTCCCTTGGGAAAATAACAAAAATAATAAGCTTCATTTATGTCTTTGTTTCAGTAGTCTATTTTTGCTAATGGCTTGGAGTTCCCCGAAGAGCTATTCAAAAGAGAAAGAAATGAACAAACTAGGAGTACTGCTGTACAGCTTATAAACATATTTCTCATAATTTAATATGTTAGTCCACAGTTAGTGTCTCAAACATTCCTATTCACAACAATGCTGATGCTTTTAGGAGTTATCTCAGTATATTCTCACTATGGTTCAAGGACAGTAATTTAAAAAATAATACCTTAAGTTGTATTGGGCATTATAATTTTTTCCAAAAATACCTTAAAACACTGTCTCATTTACATATCATGACAATTTAATGATGTAGACAAGGCAAGGATTTTTCTTGGCTTCCTGTCCCAATCTCTAACTTTGATCACTTGTCTATTTTCCAGATTAAGAAACTGAGGGTCAAAAATGTAAAGCAACTTGCTAACAATTCAATTGGAGAGAAGTACATTTAGAGGCATATGTTCTTTCTACTTGGTCATGGTCCTATACACTCTCTGTTGACCAACACAGAAAAATTAAATGTGTCATTTTACTGTCCAGTCCAAAGAGATGGAGATCAGACATGCAGGATGAGGAAAGATAAATCTGATAGAAATATCTGAGAGAAGTATATGGTAATTCCTTTGGGCATATACATATACAGTAGCAATTGCAGCAAACAGAGGGAAATACATCTTTGAAGTCAGTCAAAAAATAACTGATTTAGAGCTTTCAGATAATCATTCTACTAGATATTGCTAAGGGCACACACTTTGTGGTCAGTCTTTCTGGGTTTGAATCCAGTTTGACATTTTATTAGCTACTTTCCTCAGGGTATGTTACTGAACCCCAAAAGAGTGTTTCCTTACTTATTAAATGAGGGTAATAGCCTCTACCTTGTAGAGTTGATAAATCAATAACCCAATAGTAAATTATTTGCATGGGTCAGGCCCTGTAAAGAACAATTCATGTGTATTAACTAATTTAAATTTCATAGCAACCTTAGTAGATCATTAATATAAAGCATTTGGCATAGTACCTTAGTAGGGTTTAATTAACTTATGTTATTAGACTAGGTCCTTATTAATTTATAAGATCACTGTTTAATATAATGGCTTCCAGTCACATGTGGCTATTTAGATTCAAATTTATTAGAATTGAATAAAATTTAAAATTCCATTCCTTAGTCTTACTAGTCACATTTCAAGTGCTCAGTAGCCATGTGTGGCTAGAAACATCATATTGGACAATGAAGATATGAAATTTTCATCATTGCAGAAAAGTTCTATTGAGTAGTGCTGTACGTGTAAAATAAGAGTACATTACCTCAGTTTCTAGTCATTTACCTCTCAGTTCTCTCCTCAAGTGAATATCATATGGGACTCTGTTGACATTGTTGCAATGAAGATTTGATTTAGATCCTTGTTTTAACTTTCAAACAACATATCTAACTTACTTCTTTCCACTCTGCCTTAAAAAATAGGTAATACGAATAATAAACATTTTCTTTATAAACAAGGACACTGCAGTTTCCTCTTATATAAAGCAGTTACATAAATTTCTGCCCATTTCCAGAATCAAGTTCACTTTCCAGTAATTGTCAGTGGATTGAGTTGGTAGATCTGCATTCTTTCTCCCAATTGTATTAGGTCATATTGCAAAAATGAAATGACTTATAGTCTATAATCTGTGTTCATACCACAAAAGAAAAGTACTAAGTCTGTGACCTTGACCCTATTTATATAATAATTATCCAGGCAGTATCAACTCTAATGGTTCTTTGAACTCCAGCAGGCTCTAGCTCATGAATCCATTAACTTTTGAGTGCTTCCCATAGGCCAAAAACTGCAGAGGATGCATTAACAAATGAGATCCAGTCAGAGTCTTAAAATTTTCAATTTACTGTGGAAAATAAAATTCAGTTACACAAGTAACAGGGGTGCCCAGCATTTCTAAGTATCTATAATGCTATAAATAACTGCATATGAGTCCTACCAAATTCTAACAACTGCTTGAACCAGCCATGGATATTTCAAAAATTAGCCCAAAGCAGAAAAACATAAATATGATTTATGCTGTCTCAGATGGCAGTAAAATTATGCTTAATGAAAATTGAACATGTTAAAATAATGTGAAAGGACAACTTTTAGAAAAATTAGATTCAGAAAGATATTCATGGACTTTTTATCTTATTTCATAAACTTTTCGACGTACTTTTTAAAAAATTCAGTCATAATATAGCAAACACTCGCTAAAGTAAAGAGTTTATGTAATGTTGTTTCATGTTGAAGTAGATACATGGCATTTTAATCACAAGTATTGAAATAATTTCTCGTAGATCAGCTGTTGAAACTTTGGATGGTATATTCAAAAATCTCCCTATGTTCTAATTAGTCAATTCTTAACTTTTGGGCTAAGAAAGAAAATTTGGCAGTGGAAGAAACTAATTCAGAGTAAGCGTATTCTCTTTGATTTAGACTATCATGGAAACTGAAATAGAGTTAAGAAGTAATGTGAACCAATTAAACTAATGAAAAAATACATGTAAAATAGCAGTGCATTATTACCTCAGTTTCTAGACATTTACCTCTCAGTTCTCTTCTCCAGTGTATATCTTATGGGATTCTGTAGATAATGAAAGCATTCATTTAGTAGTGGTTTCAGGACCACGCTTTTTCTGGTATAGCTTCTTAAAAAATAAAAACCAAGGTTACATTTATAAAAGACTCTTTTCTTCTTATGTATGTGATCTATTCCTCAATTCTGTGTTACATTCTTTAAAAATAATTTCAATCTACTTGCTATAACCCGGTTATCACTTGAGAAATATTTGCTGTGGATCATAAATTCTATCTTCCATGAATGGTCAGTCCCCAGGATTATGAGCCACAAAAGTTTGATGGGTCTGTGGATTAACTATGGAGTTAATGGCTGCTCCTTGGTAGAGAACAGCATGTTTCCATATATCCACATTGTTTTTTTATTTACTCCTGGGAAAAGCAGGGGTAAAAGAATCCATGAAATTCCCATCTTGCTTAAAAGCAACATCTGTAGGAGACCTAAGAGTATTGCTGACTGAATTCACTAAAATAAAAGCCTGTATTTCATCAGCTTTTCTCTCATTAAAAAATCAATATCAGCTGTTATGGAAGGTTCCCAAAGAACACAGAGACCATTCACCCAGTTTAAAATGTTTATCACACCCATTATTGTATCAGATATTTCCCAGCTGAAATCTTTCTAACCTCTCTATGTGGTTGGGAAAAGTGTCTGCTTTTTAGAGCATAACTATCAAAATAGATTTGGAATTAGTAGGAGGAGAACAGAAGTAGAAACTTCAAAAATGTTTCTATCCTTTAAAAAGAGGCATATCTATTCATTACCTACATCTGTTTATTGTTTATACTAGTCGCTCTTTCCCTTCCCTGTTGTCCCAGTTAAGGTTATTACTTATTTAGTTTAGGCTAGGAGGCATTTCAACCATGTGGCTGTGGGTCAGAGCACAGACATGATGGCTAAGTGAACCAGCTTATGAGACCGGTCTTACTCTGTGATGTGTAGTCATAACACCCAAAGCCTCCTCTCCAAGGAATGAAACACATTAATAAGGGCGAACTTAGCACTTGTTATCTTTAGTCAGCCATGTGATGGAGAGAAAGCTAGATTCATCTGGTCTGAAGTAGGTTCCATTTGGTAGCTGGTGTGTAAAGTGTGCGTGTGTGTGTGTGTGTGTGTGTGTGTGTATGTGTGTGTGTGTGTGTGTGTGTGTGAAGAAGTAAGTACAGTTAGTTCACCAAAAAAGTTTGACAAAGTCCTAACCAAGCAGTTGTGAATTCGGGGTAGCCAGAGAAACCAGAATGCTATTCAGACCCTAGGGAAGAAACCTGTTCTTAGAAAATGGTTGATCGTAATGTGATAAAGAACTCTGCCTCCAGAAGCACATAGATGCCTCCAGAACTTTAAGGACAGTACTAGTAAAATGAAACCTAATATGGATTCTAGTTGCTGTTGGAACTGCATCTTCATATGGTTGATTTTGCTCAGTTTAGTAATCAGTATTGAATTTTCTAGTTGTCAGTTTTTAGTGCCTAATAGCGTAAGGTATTTTTTCATTCATTCACACATGCATTCATTATTGCACAGATGATTATTACTAGTCAACTATTTACAAAGCACTATGTTAGGCAATATAGGCAATTCAAACATTGAATAAAAACCCAGCTTCTGTTCTCAAAAAACTTAAAATCTAACCTGACAAACATACCCATTAACAAAACCTAGTAAAAAGTAGGAAGCAATAAGTACTGTAAGAGAAGTAGAACCAAGATATGATTGTACAAAGAAAGCGGTCATTAAATCTCATCAAGAGGATCAGCGATGCTTCAAGGAGAAAGTATTTAAGCTGAATCTCAAATAAAATTTCAGTAGATAAAGTGGGAGAAAAAATGCATTTCTGGTTGAGGAAACAATATATGTGTAGAGTTTAATAAGCATGGTCATAATGTGTTGGAAATGAAGGTAACCAAGTAAACCCAGTCTATGATACAGATGGAAAGTTTTATAAAAAGATAAGGTTGAAGTAATAGGTCACAGTTAGGCTATGAAAGGCAAATCTGATCACAATGTGGATTTTAGACTTTAGTACAAGACACTTGTGAAACTAGATGTTTGTATGTTTATAATGAAGGGAGTACCAGCATCTAGCTTGGATTTTAGGCAGATAAGTTAGGGGTTATGTGAATAAAAAGAGAGAGACATAAGAACAAGAATAAAGTTATTCAAGAAATCTAGGCAAATAATGATGAGAAGCGGAACTAAGACAATAAATAAAAGAGACTGTTGAGGTGTTTTTTTTTTTAACAGGATTAAGTGATTAACGTTGGGAATCAGAAAAGAGGGAATCAAAGAAGCTATGAATTTCTGGTTAGTTGGGCAATTGTAACAGTGTAAATGAAGACATAAAACAGGAAAATTTGTAGAAGAGAATTTGCTCAATATAGACGTCATGAATTTAAGATGCTAATAGATCATTCATGAGGAAAGACAGATGACAACTCTCCAGGACTTCCTGATTCATCTCCTTGGTTTCAATTATCATTTATATGCTAATGTAAATGTAAATCTATATTAACAGCTGTGTGCTTTGGACCCTTCTCAGACCTCTCAATATACCCAATCAATCACTCAGTTTTCTCAATTCTATTTCCTACACATATTTAAAATCCAATAACTTATCTTCATTCCTAACCATTCCCCTAGTCTAGACTCTTATTTGACCCCACTTTAATCCATTTTCCATACATAACAATGATGATCTTTCTAAAACACAATTAAATTATCTCATTCCCATGTTTAAACACTAAAGAAAGTTTTTTCTTGCATTTAGGATAAAGTACAAATTCTATAATATTGCCAAGATGTCTTACCCTACTTGCCTTTTCATCCCTATAGCTTGTTGCTTGGGCACATATTGCTGTTTTCCAGAAAGCTATCCTGGATTTCTTTGTGTGCACACATGGAAGACATCTTCCTGTTCTCTGTACATCTAGATGGGATGCTTCCTCAGCCTGGGTGGAGACAATAGGAAATAAGAATAATTTTTAAACCTTTTTTTAAAATTTGAACTTCATTAAGTTAATCACAACTTCACCCATCCCTCAGAACCATATTCTCACTTTATCTTTTGTTTTTAGGATTAACAGTATTGTTCTTAACTTCTCATTGTAAGATGCCTTTTTAAAAAACAGGAAATGAATTATCATTTTAACCACAGACATACTGATAACCTTCTTCTTTTCCTTGCAAAATTCACATTTGTTTTAGAAAAATCTATTATTTTCTCAAAAACTCTGTAACTAAAGAAATATAATTCTTTCAGTCTGTACTGAATATAAACAACATATCTTCCTGAAGATTGACAGAAAAAATACCTCTACAATTTTATTCTTAATTATTTCATTGCTTTAATAATCTTTAGTAAACACAGTCACCACTTAACTAGAAAGAATTGTGTTCTTATTATGTGAGTCATGGAATGATGAAAGAACGAAGGATTAAGAAGTAGAGGGGTAAGTTTTATATTCTGTGTTTATACACCATTGGGCCTGGACGCATCATTTACAGTTTTTTGGAGATTAACATTTTCTTCTTTAATACGGATATTAGTATATGTTTTTTGTAATATTTTGTAATGCATACAGCTCTTTCTTATTCATTAGCCATTCAATTCTTCCAGAATATGCTAAGTATATTTTTATACCCATCTTAGAAATGAAAAAACGAAGGCTCAAAGAGGTTAAAGAGACTTTCTCCAGATCACTCAGATTTTAAATGGTGGGTCTATAAATTCTGACATGGGGATAATAATATAATGCTTATTTCACTGATTTATGATGAAAATAAAATTAAATTATTAATCTACAACCACTTTGCCAGTTATAATGGTTCTTTTTACTGTTGTTGTTGCTTCTACTACTAAGCAGGTGAGGTTAGAAAGCATGAATTCATGTATTCATGTATTCAAACTGAAAGGCATTGTTGTGCAAACAGGTCTCTCTGTCGATGTCTCAGAATTAAAAAAGTAAGCTTGATTTTATCTGCACTTATTCTGTTTTATTTTTGTTGCTGCTGTTAAGATGCTACATGCAGGATTGCCTGAGCTAAGTGGAATCCAAGACCTAAAATACGTATATAATAATCTTCGTCCACAAGACACGAACCTGGAAGCCACGAGTCATTTTACCAAGTAAGATAAACTGTGAATGTGTGAGCATGCATACATGCACATGTACTGACATATGTTCTGTATTTGAGAGGATTTCAGGTTGACTAGTCATTGGTATGAAGCTGTTGTTTCTAGAATCAGCTCATATTCCTTTTTTCAAAGGACAGAGAGAGAGCAATGTGAATGTTTAGCAGAAGGTCTTAGTCAGTGTTTCTGTAGCTTGTTATTGTTTGCTAACCAGCCTCTTCATCTAACAGATTGCTCAATAAGAGGTCACTGAAAAGAGCGAGAGCTGACATAAATAAATTGGTTGTTCTACTTGAACTATGTCCAGAAAAACAATTTGGAAAAGTGATTTACGATGAGATATGTACTCACTACTTTTATCTATAAGACAATACAAATATTGGAATATTTGGTCAAAGGCCTGTGACTGTCTTCTACTTTTAATCTATTTTTTATTAAGCAAGTCTAGGAAAACGCTTGTGTATATCAAGGTAAGAACTGAACAGAGTCTGGTGAATATCAATTAGACCCTAAATCATTATCAAAAGGGCAGTGCATTTTATAAGATCTTTGTGAATTTTCCTTTTTGAATGGATAGCATAATTCCTGGCATATTTTAGATGTTCAATAAATGTTAGATGTAATTATTATCCTGGTAAACAATTTTAGTTTTTCTTTTTTTCCTTTAGCTTCTTAATAGTGAATGTTATTTGAGTATAATTTTTAATTGTTCTAATGTTTACAACTGGAAATGTATAAACATAGATTTTATTCTTTTTTAGTATAATGTATGCTTTTGAAAAGATAATAATTCACCTTTCCCAAGTTTTACTTTTTCTCTTCTCCTTCCAGAATACACAGTAAGGAATCATTTCCTATTCCAAGGGTGCAGTGAAGCTTCATGGGGATGTTCTGTACACTTGAAGAATCTCACTTGTCTTAGAGATCTCTGTTTCATGAACTTTAATAGACAAGCTGTCCTTTGGTAGAATAGAAGCAATGTGACAGAATCACATAATATCAGAAATGAACAAACTCCTATAGTTTATCTTGACAACAAATATTCAAATAAGACTGGGATCCAGAGAATAAAGGGTCATGCCCACAATTATGAGAAACAGAAAAAAAAAACAAAAAAAACAAAACAGAGGGAGGACTAAAACTTAGGTCTTTTGATCCCTTTGGTCCTTGGTTTTTTTCATTACTCAATATTAAACATTGTATAATATAATTACAAAGGACCAGGCTGAGTCCTTGTTTAAAACAAACACAAACAAACAAAAAACCTTCCTGCTACCCAGTTAGTGTTTGAAATTCTACAGTTAGTTTATTAGGAGAGTCTGACAAGTTATTTTAGTTTTTTAAAAAATGACCTTTAGAGCTAAAACCAACTTCCTGGGTATCATGTCCATCACCTGGTTGACGGGCTCAATAGAAGCCCAAGTCTCACCATCACACAATATTCCTATGTAATGAACCTGGGCATGTACCCCCCAAATCACAATAGAAAAAAAAAATTTAAATGCCCTTAGTACAGTTACCTCTGAAAGAGGCATATTTTCATATCTATTAATAAAATCACAAATATTAGCTGACAATTGACTATGGCCAAAGACACCTGCTTGAAATCTTGGGTAGGTGTTTTAGAACCTTTGTTTCAAGGATCATGAGCTCTCAAGTTATATGAACTAATGGAGATGAGTGTCTTGTATAAGAAAACCCAAAGAAAGACTAACAACCTAGCCTCAGGAAAAGCAGAAAAACATCTGTCACAGAGCCTAGAAGTGTCCTGCAGAATTCAAGGCAACTCCCGATACCTCATCAGCAAGAACTTATTCCTTTCACGCTAGCTGTTTGTCCATGGTTCAGTTAATTTTATCCAGTGTGGATGGGTTCACATGGTACCAAAAAGAGTTCTTTCAGATTATCCCTTCCAGAGAGGATGTAAAACGCCTTTCTTTGAAATAGGCTGCAGTATGGCGGCACAACGTTTGACATGTTGGTGGAGCTGTGTGGGGAGGCAGAGAAGGATCATGGAAGGGACTAGAAACGTAGAGGAAGGGAGTCCGAAATTGGGTTGTAGGGCCTGTTTGGGCAGATCAGTTATAGTGTTGCAGCTTACTGACGGTACCTCCAAACATTTACCCACCCACTCCTCCTCCATGGGGGAAAAAATGAAGAAGAAAATGCCCTATATTGATTTGGATGTTAAAAGTTCTTTCAGGCCCTGACCAAAGGAAAGAATGTAAATAGTTTCACTTGTCTGCCTGAGTCCCATCCCTTCCCATCCCTCTGCTTCATATGACACCCCCAGATCTGTAAAGAGCATAATCTTGGATACGGATGAGCTTGCCTAGGGTAACTCATCTCCCCTTCCTATTCAAGAGGACATGAACTCATGTGCAAAGTAGCTCTGAAGCCAGAACCTCATGGCAGTAAGCTAGACCTCATTATTATGTCTGCATACCTCTGCCAGGCTAAATTTCCCACTTGCAGATATTATGTGGTATGTTCTGTTAGGTAAACTTCTATCTACGACCGTGTGATAAAGAACTTGTTCTCCGTTGAAGAACTAAAAGGCATCAAGTTATGTAAACTAAGGCACATGATTTCTCTGTTTAACTATTTTCTTTGGTGTGCCAACTTCTACCTCTTACTGCCTAGGACCTTAAATCTGATTGTTCGTCAAGGTTTATCCACCCACCTTCATTATTCCAAATGAATCCTTTTCTGAGAAGATCATTTTCTCATGGACATTCATTCCTGCTTTGCCTGTTTAACTCACATATCTAGCCTCACTAAAAATGCCTCCATGGAATCATAAAATTTCTGGAGGAGTTTTATCTAACTTTCAATTTCATTCATTTTGATACTCTGGACAACTAGTACCTAGTCCATGAAAACTTCTCTGTTTATTTCATTACTCACTGATCTTCTTTTCTTCTATCTTTCTACAGAACATGTCATCTTTTGCACTATACTTAATTTATTAGTCTTGTATATTACCTTAACTAATATATTAATCAGCTTTATCAATTTCTTCTAAGTAAAGAAGGGAACATATTCCCACTTCCCCTCTTCTAAGACTATCCAAATGTGAAACAAGCCCTATTTAACAGAAAATAACAATTTAAGCATCAAATTTAAGTATATAAAAGGAAATAATAAAAACCAACATTCAATATAGTGTTTTTTAATCAGGCCCTGTTCTAAATGCTTTGCATACAGTAACATACTTAATCATCATAATCCTATGAGATAATAATATTTGAATCATTTTTTAGATTAGTGAATTGAGACCCCAAAGAAGTTAAACAGTTTGCCAAAGAACATCTTGTATGCTCAAAATCACCTTTTCCATATGCAGGCTTTCAGAAATGTGCTGCTTCATAATTTTGACCATAGTTTTCTCAAGTTCCTTAGGACCTGTGTTGACTGCTGTTTGACCAAGATATTTTCTTCACCCTTTCTCTCACTAATTCTATCCTGCTTACCTCAAGCCTCAGCAGAGGACAGAAGTCCCTTCCCAGAATTATTATCTTTGTGCCACCACTAGAAGTCTCCTGGGTATTTGGTTTCAGGAGCTGCTATAATTGCTGCATTGAGAGAGCCTTCAGGGGTAATTTGGCTGTTGTCTCTGGCAGTCACCTTCCTTCCTTGTTCAATTTTGGCCCATTCCCAGATGCTTTGAGCCTCTCTCCACTTTTTTTTCCTTTCTCAGAGAAATATCCCATGAGACTCATTCTCATTTAACTTCCAAGGGTCTGTCTCAGCAATATATTTTATCTTAAAGTCTCAATTATATAGCTTTATCTTTAGATACAATTTAATGCACAAATAACTTGTCTGTTCAACTCCTCTCTAAGTTTCTTGGTCAACAAATATACATCAAACGTTGAGGATCTTTCCTGTCACACATCTCATCTAGCACTATGAAAAGCCTATTATAGGACAGCAAGACACCTCTATAGATGGTGACTGTGATTCTTTACCATTCAAAAACATTTACTGAGATCTATTGCTTGTATATTATAAATTTCTAACACAAATTATATGCTGTTTATTTTGTAAATCCCTGAACAATGAATAGAGTGAGTTTACGAAAGGCTGGGATAATTAAAAACAGCTTTAATGCAAGTTTAAATGACACAATACTCATGATTCAAATAAATGTTAATTATGCGAACTTGTTTACATTTCTGTGTAGATAATATCGCTAATTTGAGCTGTGTTCTCTGATACCATGTGGATTTCAACACTTAAGAAGACACTTGAAGTGCAAACCTTATCACACATAATTCACCCAAAAAAGCTCGGCGATGCATCCATTGTTGATCTTGATACTTCAATGAGTGTCATTAATACTAATATGTAATATATATAATATAAGCCTTTATATATTTAAACTCTTCATTTTCTTTCTTTGTTCTGATAGTCGAAAAATGTTTTGTGCCACTAATATTTATTCTGATATAACTACTAAGTAACAGATAAAAATAAAACAAGAAAATCCCTCCTGCCCCAACCCCAGGTCCACAGATTGAGGTCATGAGTAAGGACTAAGCCATCTGAGACATAATATGTGTGGCTACCTCAAGTGCCCTCATCCTAATTACAGTATTAGAGTTAAGAGGCTGTCCCTCTTGACCCTGTTTGAGACTTGAAAGAAAGAAATGACTTTTCCTGCTTCTTAGAAGGTATACTCTACTTATGAACAACACAGGTTTCGACCCTGCTTCTGGACATATATATGCACATTCTGGGTCAAGAGCTGATAACAATTTCAAAGGATATTACCTACATACAGTTTTATTACAATGAATGATATTTAGAAGAGAAATGAAAATAAAATTGGTTTGCTGGCCACAAAAATTTTTCACATCATCATCAATTGTTCTCTCTTTCCCTTACGCATTTCTACTCCCCTGGTAGCAAAGTGCTGTTGAATAGAATCAAAGAAAGTATTATGACTCAGTCCCCTGCAAATTGGTACTCTCATGCAATCTCTCTGCAGA